CCACAATTCATTATTTTTAAACTACAACTGCACAATGCAAATACAGATGAACACATTCTATTTAAAGTAAATTTATTCTTTGAAAATCCAAGCTTTTATCATTACTAGGAGATAAACTAGCAAAAAGCAGATGTGGCAAAAGCAGCATTAAACTAGCTTTGATAAAACACTCAATGCATAGGGAAACTTCCTAACTATCTGGTGATCACTTCAATTACTATTGCAAGAATTCCTATACACCACAACTCCAGCATTCTCAAGAATATTTTATATTAGGAAATAACACAGGTTCATATTTTTCACAACAAAAATGTAAAATTACAATGCCAATAGACTGTCAATAGATTTAAGATTATGAAGCTTCTTCTCTCTCTCCCTGTCTCTCTTTGAGCTTTATATTGAGTTTTAGTCAATAACATTTGAAAACGATATACATTTATCACTCAAGTCCAGGCATTTTCCTCATTACATCTCACAAGTCACTTTACTGTTTAAGCCCACTGAGGTACATTAAGTACCATTTGAACAGAGTTTTACATTAATTTTCTTTACCATTTGAAAGTACAGAACACTGTTTCCTGTACATATATTTCCTAGTTTCCCCCCTTTGAAATAACTGATTATATCCATTCTATTGACTTAATACAAACTGAAAATCAAACAGTCCTACCTGAGGCTGGACACTGCTGGCAGCACCTGAAGATGATTCACCTAAGAATTTTTAAAATAACAACACTGAATGTTTGTTACTTTTCATTTTCACTGGCTCATTACAGACGAGCTGGGTGGGCAGCTTGTTTGGGAAAAAAAATTATTTACAAAATTTATACACTGCTCTTTTGTCTTCATCAGGACCACGAAGCCAGCTAACAGATTAAAAACCATACATAATGAGAACACATCTTTAAAACCACTAAAGTCAAACAAAAACACATCATTCAGATGGTTAAAATCGAGTTAAAATTCACGTATAATACACATACATTAAAAACAATTAAGAAAAAGGCAGGGAGAGGAGATTACTGAGGAAACACCAGACAAAACAACCCATTGATGGAAGATGGCAACAGAAAGGGATGGAGAAGGCTCTCTAGGGCGAAAATTCCAGTGTTTTGGTGCTGTGACCAGGAAGACTCATCTGGGTAACCGCCCACCTAATCTCAGAAGATGGGGCACCTGAAGGAAGGCCTCAGATGATGATTGTATGTTGGGTAAACTCATAAGGAAGTAGGCAGTCCTTCAGGTATGCATGTCCCAAGCCATAAAAGGCTTTAAAGGTAAAAACCAGCACTCTGAATTGGTCCAGAAAACGAACTGGGGGTCAGTGTAGATGGAAGAAGACTGCAGTGATATGGTCCCTACAACCCACTCCAATCAACATCCTGGCTTCAGGATTCTACACCAACTAAAGTTTCTGAAAACTTCTCAAGGGCAGTCCCATGTAGACTGCATTCCAGTAACCCAATCTAAATATAACCATACATTTGGTCTACAGCTTGGGGATGCTGTTGGACTCTGGCCTACTGTCAGATCAGTAGGCAGCAGCAGTGTCCAGGGTACATTCTAGCAACTTCAACTGGTTATCCAGCTGCAGCCTTTCCTGGGCAGAAAAGAGCTGGACATTGTGGTCAGTGCTCTGGTAACATCTGTAGCTAGGATGCTGACCCGAGTGGGTTGTAGGGACCATATCACTCCAGTCTTGGTCCATCTACAGTGGCTCCAAATTTGTTTTCTGGCATGATTCAAGGTCCTACTGTTGACCTTTAAGGGCCTACACAGCTTGAAACTAGCATACCTGAAAGAACTCCTATGTTTTATATTTGTAGTTCTGTTTTTAATTGATTTTATTATATGTTTTACTATTCTGTTTTAATTGTTAACCTCCTTGGTGGCACTGATTGGACAGAAAGGCATGATATAAATGTTGTAAAGAAACAAACTATATTTTACATGTTTCATTTAAGTACAAAGAACAAATTTATCAGAGTTACAGAAAGAGTAGGAGGGTCCCAATAGGTAATTACATAGTCTGAAGTGTGTAATTAAACTGAACAACAATTCCTTACTGAAACAGTATCTTTTTGACACTGAACAGCTATAGATTCCCTGCTCATTTTAAAAATCATTATATTTTAATTTTTTGTTGTGAGTCCTTTGGGTCCCCATTTGGGGAAACGGGCAGGATATAAATGAAAATGAAATTAATCTACTTAGATCTTGGCAGAAATAGGAAACAAAAGAAATTAAGAGTGTTTCAAAGTTTAATTCAATGAGGAATAAAATTCCATTGCAATGTCTACTTGAGAAGCAACTACATCTCAAGTAGATTGTTTCAGGGCAAACTGGTTAATCTTCAAAGAGTCACAGCATTCTGTTTTTTACTGCATTAGAATGTAATCACATTTTTTCAGCAATGGAATTCAGTGTGGCTGCCATGTAGGTCTTGCACTGAGGCACTGACCAGATCCAGACATGCTTCGCTTTATAAATGCTCTTGCATCATGTGGCCTCCAACCACACCCTGTGCTTGTCTGCACTCTATTCCCCAGTTTCTACTTCATAAAAATAATTGTTCTTCTGTTCAAATTATTTAATTAAAACATTCTGGATAAAGCATCTTTGGGTTTTTGCATGTGGAACTAACCAGATATTATGCTCAGACACAAGCCTCTAAAATGATCTGTCACTAAATGTCTAAAACTAAACCATTCCCTCCCAGGTCAGTTTTGGACTATTTGGAAAGGACAACAGGATTACAAAAACATACAGTCAACACAAAACTGGGAGGAAAAATATTACAGACGACATTCTAATAATTCAAAATTATCTCCATCTGAAAAATGCACTAACCATCAGAAATGGCAAATAACCAGATACAAAAGTATATCTGATTTGATTTCTCATCTTATCTAGCTAGGCAGAAGCATTTCTGAAAAATGTACATGCCTGTCCTCAGCAGTGTTCGCTCTAAGCTGAGTTAGTGTGAGCCGGCTCACAGGTTTTTAACCTCTGGCTCACACATTTTTGTCTTAGCTCAGGAAGGATGGCTCCAGAGCAAACTAATTTATGCAGTAGCCAAATTGCTTGCTCACAACTTTAATGCCAGTAGCTCACAAAGTAGAATTTTTGCTCACAAGACTCCACAGCTTAGAGGGAGCATTGGTTCTCAGCACTTGCAAGGTAACTAAAGTACTGCATTCAGTTACAGATAGCAGAATTCTAGGTAAACTGGGGCAATTTAGAGAAAAGCTACAAAAGAAGTGGTAGGTTTCTTGTGAGGAAAAGATTTAAGAGGAATGTATTGCCAAGGTACCAGTATTTAACAGGGTATAAAGATGGAAAGGACTTTCTCAACCACTAGGGACAGTGCAATAAATAAGGATGAACTGGAGAGACATTTCAGTTAGGTAGGTATTATGAACCACACAGTGTAAGGATGCACCAGGGAGCAAGTTTGGCTAAACACGGTGGTACCTAATATCAAGTCAGCATACACAGGATTAAAGTATGACTACTGTACCCTGAATGGGGTTCACGACCGCTTCTAAACATAGTTTTTCTCTACAGTTGGTCTGGATGTTAAGCATCATTGCATATGTACAACTAAAAGGGGGGAAGGGAGAATACTCATGTTTTAGCTACTACAGGTTCACATGTTTACTAACATCAGAATAATCTGAAAACAGGGAAAATTAGAATAAATCATAATGTTTGCAATTGTTCACAAAATAACTGGCAGAGACTACTACATCCAATGATATATTAGCTGGCTCCTATGGATGAGCAGAATTCGGTACTAAACACAAAGATAACTGATTTCCACCAGGTAGGCCAAGAGGATATTTGTTTTTAATCTGTTTGTTTTTCTCTTTTGTTAAACTTGTTTTTTCCAGCTGGCTTTGACACAGGAGAGCAAGTTATACTGATTCAGGCAGCGACACCAGCTAGCAACATGGAAGCTACTTTGGCCAAAACTGATAATCTACACTATTAGGATTTGCACACTGGTGATGATGATACTCTCCTACCATTTTCCCCCTATATAAAACCAAATTACTAAACAGAGTGTCAAGATGAGAAATGGAGAGACCCTGGTTCAAATCCCTACTCAGCCACAAAGATGACTAAGTAATTGGCGCACCATTGGCATAGTTTTCTTACCTTTTGTTTTTTTATCCACAGCAACATGCTTCTTAGTTTCTGCTGTTAGCAACAGCTCATAAGGATGCTCTTCCTCTTCATCTGCTGTGCTTCCCCTGCTCTTCCTCTTAGCGACCAAACCCTGACCAAACATATAGCACACTATAGTTCCCAAGAAGATGCAATTAGGCAGTAATCATAAGACACTTGTACCTTGCCCCTTCCTCAAGTTAGCCATAGGACATGCTTAAGAGATGAATGCCTCAAAAATTCAGACACATAGGAGTCAGAAATAAAGCATAATGCTACCGGGCCTCTCTCCCTAACAGACAAAGCCTTCTCACCTACAGCATGCACGAGTCTCACCTGTCCCTCCCAGTCTTTGATTGCTGTTTTTGCCCCACCTACCCCTAACTCCCCACTCAACTCTTCTTTTGTAGTTTTCAGTCATACCACTCTCACTTGGAAGCACTAAAAATATGCTGAGTTCTTACATAAGGCCTTAGAAATATAACTTCTAACATTTTCTGGAATGTAACATATAGCTAGCATTGTGCACTGGTGCTACAGGATTAGTGCCTGGGAGTACTAGGACAAAGGATCAAGGAAACCAAGAAGAACTAGGTGCTTTCTCAATGTTTACCTCACTCTTTCTGTGGCTACTGGAAGGTAGCCCCAGACTGGTAGGTTTCCAGTACAAACCAAATGTGCCAACTTTTCTTTTTCAGTGACCACAAAGGCTGCATATTCATTTATAAACTGGCAGCAGACATCATTAAGTGGCAGAGGAAGTTATACAATATCTAGAACTTGTTTCTTCTAATTTTCATGGTATAATTACAAACACTTTGGGCTCAAATGGAAAAGAGATCTTTGATCAGATCTCAAGGTGGGAGGGGTGTTGAAAGACCTGAATCAGATTGAGGTGATGAGGAGGTCCTACGACTGATAGACAACTTAAAAACTGATAAATCACCAGGCCCGGATGGCATATATCTGAGAGTTCTGAAAGAACTCAAATGTGAACTTGTGGATCTCCTGACAAAAATATGTAATCTTTCATTAAAATCTGCCTCCATTCCTGAGGACTGGAAGGTAGCTAATGTCACTCCCATCTTTAAAAAGGGTTCCAGAGGAGATCCGGGAAATTACAGGCTAGTCAGTTTGACGTCGATACCGGGTAAGTTGGTGGAAATTGTTATTAAGGAAAGAATTAGTAGGCACATTGATGAACAAAAACTATTGAGGCAGACTCAGCATGGGTTCTGTAAGGGAAGATCTTGTCTCACTAACCTGTTAGTGTTTTTTGAGGGAGTGAACAAACATGTGGATAAGGGGGACCCAATAGATGTTGTTTACCTTGACTTCCAGAAAGCTTTTGATAAAGTTCCTCATCAAAGGCTCGTAAGTAAGCTCAATAGCCACGGGATAGAGGACAAGTCCTCTTGTGGATCAAAAACTGGCTAATTAATAGGAAACAGAGAGTGAGTATAAATGGGAAATTTTCTCAGTGGAGGGTGATAAGCAGTGCGGTACCACAGGGATCAGTACTCGGTCCGATGCTTTTTAACTTGTTTATTAATGATTTGGAGTTGGGTGAAGTGGCTAAATTTGCAGGTCACACAAATTTGTTCAGGGTGGTGAGAACCAGGGAGGATTGTGAGGCACTCCAAAGGGATCTGTCGAAGATGGGCGAGTGGGCGTCAATGTGGCCAAGTGCAAAGTGATGCACATTGGAGCAAAAAGTCCTATCTATAAATACACGTTGATGGGGTCTGAACTGGCAGAGACTGACCAAGAGAGAGATCTTGGAATAATAGTAGGTAACTCAATGAAAATGTTGAGACAGGCTCTTTAGCTTGGAGAAACAACGGCGGAGGGGTGACATGATCGAGGTTTATAAGATTATGCATTGGATAGAGCAGGTCGAGAAAGAAGTGATACTCTTCTCCCTTTCTCACAATACAAGAACTTGTGGGAACTCCATGAAATTGCTGAGCAGTTGGGTTAGAACAGATAAAAGGAAGTACTTCTTCACCCAAAGAGTGATTAACGCATGGAATTCATTGCCACAGGAGGTGGTGGTGGCTACAAGCATGGACAGCTTCAAGAGGGAATTAGATAAGCATATGGAGCAGAAGTCCATCAGTGACTATTAGCCATAAGGTATAGACAGGAACTCTCAGACTGGGGCAAGTGATGCTCTGTATTCTTGGCGCTGGGGGGGGGCACAGTGGGAGGGCTTCTAGTGTCCTGGCCCCACTGCTGGACCTCCTGATGGCACCTGTATTTTTGGCCACTGTGTGAGAGTGTGTTGGGACTAGATGGGCCATTGGCCTGATCCAACATTGGCTTCTCTTATGCTCTTATGTTCCTAAGGCATCTTCTTTCATTTTTAAAACCATCCACAGGGATCCCTGATTTGGATTGGGGCTACTGTAGCACTTTAGTGGTGTTCCCCCACTCAGCTATACACTGTTTACTGGACAAAAATGACCCCTCCAGCACCTATTAGCTCAAGTAAAAATGATAGCTCTCATTTTCTTCTACTGGGGGTAAAAAGTGCTTGGGGGGGGGGAGGGTTGTCCATGGTACAGCACAGGGGTATTAAACTCAGTGTACCATGGTCAGACAAAATCAGGGGCCCCTGCAGCTGTTTTAAAGACAATTAGTCATTGGGAGATCCAGCCACAGAATGTTTAGAATGGTTTTTTTAATGAAACAAGAGCAAAGGATCCAGATAAAGAAGGGACCTGGAACCACTCTAAACAATACTATACTCAAAGTTGTCAAACATATACATGAGCTGCAAATGCCTACCTAAAGAAATCCCAAACACAGAATACTAAGAGTGTTGCTGTATTGAACAGAGGGATTGTGGAGCTAGCAGGAAATTATTTTAGTCGCTTTCATACTCCTTGATGCTCATAAGAGATTCCTTTCTTCTAAAAACACTAAAAACAATGTTTTAAGACACTTCTTCATAATAAATCCTTAGAGAGAAACAACCCTCTTACCTTAGAAGAAGTACTCAGCTTCTTCTCTTCAAGCTCCTCCTCTTCATCAGGGGGAGGCTTGGCAGGAGGGGGTGGGCGCTCTCTCTAGAGCAGAGAAAGTATCTCAGTACTTTTATGTCATATTTTAAACTCAAAAATATTTTTGGAAGAGCTAGCAAAAGAGATTTGCTGCACACAATGACAAAAGGAGAGAGCATGTGTGCACGATGTCAAGGAAGACTTAGCATCTCTGCTCCATTCAGCAGGCTGACTTAGCACTTCAACAATTAAAAGGGTCAGTTCATTACTGTGTTACTGATTATGACTGAAACATTAATGTTTGAGAATGCTGAAGTATGAATTATTTCTCTATATGTACAGAAATAATGGCTTTTACCCTATGGACTACTCCCAATGAGGGAAAGGGATTTCTCTCTCTGTGTATGAGGGGAATTCTACCAATTCCTCCCACCGGCTGCAGACCCCCACTTTGACTCCAGGAATACAATTTTGGGAGACTCAGTGCGCTGTGGCAGAAGTTTAAGTCAATCCTGTTCCACAAACTCTGCTCCATGCATCGATCTTGTGGGATACAAGCCAATACTATCCATTTTTTCTCTTCTCTCCTACTTTACTGTCTGCCCAAGAGGCATTTTAAATTTTTTTAAATGAAACTATTCAACCAGAAGTCTAGAAGCCAAGGATGCATGCTTTAAGGCCACTGTTTTATCCATTTCACAATACAGAGGTTACTACACCCAGCAAATGCAGATAACTTATATGCAAGACAGATTGCATTCATGGACTCTTAGACCATGGAGCTGTCCCACAAAGTCTATAAGCTCCCCCTACTGGTTTGCACCTAAAAATTCCATGAAGACCGATTACCTTCATGGAACTAATATTGCACTCTATTACAGGGGCAGACAAGCATAATTTTATGACAGTCATTCACAGTGATCACAATACTTTGTTTTTTGATGGAAGAAATCTAGATGGAAAAAAATTAAGTGAAGAATATGCTCTCCACAAACCCCTTAATTTGTACTCAAGTAACAGCAAAAGGTGAGATTCATTATATGAACACTCTCCAAGATGAAATATAACTCTGAAAAAATTCACAAAAATCCTGATGGCCATTATATCATGAACTTATAATGCTCACATGTTCTTGAGCACATCACATGCAACAGGAATGGTTCTTCATTACTTAATGCCCAAAGCCTTTTGCAGTTATGTCATATTATAGTAAAAGCTTTGTCATCTGGCTCTCATGAGGAGGGAGGGCGTTGCTGGTAAATCAAATGTGGTGGATACTCAAGGTTATTGCTCTGCCCTGTCTGCTACCTAGAGGAATCCACAGTGACCAAATCCTACTCTCAGTGGGAAGATTTGAAGCAGGCTGAGGGGAGGGACCAGAGGATGACTTCAGTGGGCAGCACATCCTAACAGAAGGTCAGCAAGTACTGAAAGCATCTCAAGGTGGCAGACTGGAGTGGTCAAAGTGGAGCATGTCTGAAGATGCAGAAGTATGGTGGCTGAGGGGAAGGATCTTGCCCTCTTGGCGATGATGGTAAACCAACTGAGGTTTCTGGATAACTGAGTGCTGGATAATGGAAGATTTGTATTCACTTACTGTGAAGCTTTCTTCTCGGTGGTCCGGGAGTGGGGCAGTCCTTACTGTTGGGAATAGGCTCCTCCCTCTGGAACAGGGTCGGTTTCCTCAGATCAATCCAGGAAGGGGAGGGGCCTGTCCCCTGGGAACATCCCAGTTGTCTCCAAGTCATGCATCCCCTAACATCACACTAAGGAAAGGAAAAAACACTTCTCCCCACCATAGTGAAACTCAATTTTCAGGGCAACCAACCTTGTAACTTTATGCCCCTCCAGCGGGTGTAGACCAAGGTTGAAACCTTCTGTCGCTCTCTCACCCAATTAACTCACAATTTTGTGTTTTAGTGTCTCAGAGAAACTTCATAAATGTTCCTCCAAAATAACAAAAAGGAAGGGAAGGGAAGGGGGGAAAAGGGGGGGGGAGAAAACTCAACCCAAAAAGTTGCTATGGATCCACAAGTGTTAAGCTCACTCAAATATTATAAAAATGCAAAATTTATTCAGGTGTACACATTTTAAAACTTAGACTCATTAAAAATATACCATTCAGACATTAAAAAAACTCTCAACATTCATACATAGATGAGTTAGTGCTGTGCAACTGAACCAAACGCGTTTCGGCCCCTCAAAGGGCCTTCCTCAGTGGTCACAATTCCAATTACAAATTTGACATACATTCAAAAAAATTTTTTACATAACATGTACATATACAGGAGAAGGCCAGATGTTGTTTCCTAAGTACTGATTGCAAACAGAAAAAGAGGGAAAAGGGAAGCAAAGAAAATTTCATTATATTTCATTATATTTTTAGTATATAGTAATTGTCAATTAACAATAATGTACATAAGGGAAACTATAATGAAATTTTCTTTGCTTCCCTTTTCCCTCTTTTTCTGTTTGCAATCAGTACTTAGGAAACAACATCTGGCCTTCTCCTGTATATGTACATCTTATGTAAAAAATTTTTTTGAATGTATGTCAAATTTGTAATTGGAATTGTGACCACTGAGGAAGGCCCTTTGAGGGGCCGAAACGCGTTTGGTTCAGTTGCACAGCACTAACTCATCTATGTATGAATGTTGAGAGTTTTTTTATGTCTGAATGGTATATCTTTAATGAGTCTAAGTTTTAAAATGTGTACACCTGAATAAATTTTGCATTTTTATAATATTTGAGTCAGCTTAACCCTTGTGGATCCATACCTCCAAAATAACCTCCAGAAGCTGCCCTCCAAAACTGGGTGGGTAGGACTGCCCCACTCCCGGACAACCGAGAAGGAAGCTTCACGGTAAGTGAATACAAATCTTCCATTCTCCGGTGGTCCTGGGAGTGGGGCAGTCCTTACTCTTGGAACATAAAATAGCAAGTGTGCCCCAGGGTGGGAAATCCATCTTCTGGTTATGGTGTGTGCTGCAGCACACCCCAAAGAAAGGCCGCCACAGCCAAGGTCAGCTTCTCTACTCTATAGCACTCTACTCTACAGAGTGCACAGACTTCCAGGTGGCCACCGTACCTACTGTCTCCAAGGATGGGAAATGGTCTGCAAGCTGCTGACGTAGCAGCCCCCCCACAGAGAATATGCTGCAACACCTTTGGGTGGATTCAGCCCCTGAGCCTTGCATGCAACAATGATGTCACCCCTAAAACTGCTTAATCAAGGTAAAAGGCAATACCAGTTGACCTAAGGAAAATATCCTAATGGAAACAAAGAGGGTATCTGAATCATGCCACTACTTGGCCTGTCAACGTAAAAACTAAATACCCTACGGACATTGAGGCAATGCCATTCCCTTTCCTTGTCATGCCTATGATTGGGACAAAGGAAGGTAAGACAATGATCTCTGACTTGCGAAGGAACTGGATTAACCTTGGGAACGAAGGCTTGATCCGAACGTAACATCACCCTATCATTGTGGAAGACATGAAGTTCCCTGTCAACTGACAGGGTTCTCAGTTCAGACACTTCCTAGTTGATATTATGCCTGCTAAAAACAAGGTCTTGAATGTTAATTCCTTGAGACTCCATGGTTTCAAAGGTTTTCTACACAATACTCTCAGGACCCTATGTAGGTTCCAAGTTGTGGCGGTTTTGACCATGTAGGTTCCAACTTGTGGCGGTTTTGACCATGTAGTAACCCTTTAGGAATCTCTTAACGTGTGGATGGTAATTGAAGGGACTTCCCTTCCTAGCCCCCATCACTGCCAATATGGCTGCCACCTGTCACTTTAATGTACTCACGCTTAGCCCTCTATCCAAACCATCTTGGAGAAAGCTAAGATGCCTCTGATGCATTTAATGGTTCCCAATCATGTTCTGAACACCAAGAGTGAAGGACCAACCAGGTAGTGTTATACACCCTCAGCCACTTCCCCTGATGTGCGTTGGTTGGGGAAGCAACCTCCAGCCACAAGCTGGGCCCGGTGGGAGTCTGCGTACACAGCCTTGGGTGCTGGGGATCTCCCAGTGCCATCGGCTTCATTTGCAGTTTGCCATCGACTGCAGCTCAAAATAATGAAGAGGGAGGGTCTCTCCCTTCTCCCTCTCTTCTTCTAATTCCTGGATCGCTGCGCTCTACAGAGCGCCTGTGAAACACGTCCTGCTCAAGCAGCAGGGCCGGTAAGACTGGGATGTTCCCAGGGGCCAGGCCCCTCCCCTTCCTGGATTGATCTGAGGAAACCGACCCTGTTCCAGAGGGAGGAGCCTATTCCCAAGAGTAAGGACTGCCCCACTCCCAGGACCACCGGAGAATAAAGCTTTTATTGTACTTCCAAACTGTGTGGCTAGGTTATCAACTTACTGCAAGTGTGGCGAGTGTACAGGCCTGGAGATATTTCCCAGACTATTTTTCATAAAATGGAAACAGACAACACACATAAGGCTACATACAGGCCTCATTCCTGTCCCTTTAACACTGGTCGTCTCCACTTCCCTATTCACTGAGTCTCTGTCTGATGATCTTCCACTGGCCAGGCTGTCCAAAGAGTGACAGGATGTGGCATTGTATAGAACTTCATATGGACACTCTTCTTGCTTTCCATCAAAATCTGCCATCAGTTCTGTTATTTTTTCCACATTTCCTGGGGAGAATGAACAGTATGTTACCAACCACAGCCATTTAATTCTGCTCTGCCAAAGGTAGCTAGGCAAATCCACAAATCCCCCCCCCCGAGATTACATGCTATCCATCGCTAGCAAAAGGTAATGGTAGAGAAACATCTTTCTCAGTTTTCCCTTTTACCAGTGTATTCCTGCAAGCCCAGAAAAGTAAACAGCAGGAACTGGGGGACAACAAAAAATCACACAGCACATGCAGCTATAGTGAATAATGGAAGCAGGCAAAACTGTAATGGAGTCTCTACATCAACAGAAGCACTGCTAGCAAAAGAGACAGAGAGGGATTATTTAATCAATGTATGCAACTATTGTTTCTGATTCACAGTTTCGAATGCAGATTCTCCAACAGCACCCAGTGCTGTTGCTGATATACTCTGACACCTAGATGAAGAGTTTCAAGGGGTGTGGCAGGAGATAAGAAAGTTTCATTTTGGATCCAGAGGTGTTTTTTGTTTTTGTTGTGGGGGGGTAATTCAAAAGCTCATTTATTGTTGAACTAGGAGTAATGCCCGTTGTGGGAAGAAATACAAGATCTAGAAGGAAGCTCCAGATGAGTGTCCCGACTGTGGCTGGTGGGGCAGCAGAGGGAAGGGGAAAATAGAGGAAGGCAAGCCGTGTTTCTTTCCTTCTGCTTAGCTATAAGGCAGGGCTGTCTCAAGTCATTTTGCTGCCCCAAGTGGGTAGTATTGGAGGACAGCCTCATGGTAACAGGTATGGTTCCCTCCACCTCTGATTTATTTTTTTGGGGGGAGGGGGTGTTATGCAGTGGCAGCTAAGGTAGAAAAGCACCTCCTCCTGTGCCATGTTTTCTGGGTTCCAAGGGTCTAGAAAGCGGTTCCATAGCCAATTACATGGTTGCCAACTCTGGGTTGGGAAATACCTGTAGATTTGAGGGGTGGAGCCTGGGGAGGGCAGGGTTTGGGTGTGGAGGGACTTTAGCAGGGTATAATGCCATAGAGTTCACTGCCCAAAGCAGCCATTGTCTCCAGGAGAACTGATCTGAATCTTGTGGACATCAGTTTTAATAGCTGGAGATCTCCAGGTGCCGCCTGGAGGTTGGCTTGTGTTACTTTGGGGCTATGCAGTCACAGCTAAGGCAGAAAAGCACCTCCTCCTGTGCCATGTTTTCTGGGTTCCAAGGGTCTGGAAAGTGGTTCCATAGCCAATTACATGGTTGCCAACTCTGGGTTGGGAAATACCTATAGATTTGAGGGGTGGAGCCTGGGGAGGGCAGGGTTTGGGTGTGGAGGGACTTCAGCAGGGTATAATGCCATAGAGTCCACTGCCCAAAGTAGCCATTGTCTCCAGGAGAACTGATCTTGGTCATCTGAAGATCAGTTGTAATAGCTGGGAAATTTTCTGTAGGGGAAAAGATTTGCTGTGGCTGGGGAACACGACGATTTCTGGGTGATCTCCAGGCCCCACAGGGAGACTGGCAATTTTACCTCAGGACACATTCAATGACTCCCAACAGCAACAGCAAACTGTTTAGAATGTTAGAGGCAAAGGCCAATGAGGCCGCATATGCAAATGACCTCTGTGTTCCAACTGGCTATGGGAGGAGAGGAACAGCAAACTGTTTAGAATGTTGGAGGCGGGACTCAGGCAATGCAGCCAGTGGATAGGGACAGCTTCTGAGTGACACATCACAGAGCGTATTGATTTGGGAGAGTGTGGAATGTTCAGCAACGTGCCACCACTAACAGAGAATTATTATAGAGAGAGATGGCCTTATCGATGGTTCATGGAAAATAGTTAAAATGTACATTTTACAAAGCTGCCCTTTAGCAAATTTATTCTTTATGCTGCATTATCCTACATATGGCCATCCATGCAAATATATGTCTGTTTAGAAATTCTCACATCACATGCAGAGGTGATGAAAGGAGCAATAGAAAGAGGCTCAGGAATCCATGGAAGCAGAGGCATGGAAAACAAGAGGAAAGGGGAACAGCCAAATGGTAAGAAGATTAATTTTTTTAAACTTGGGGAGGAGAGGGGGAGCTAGAGAAAGGCAATAAAATGCACCTATGGGCAACTGTATGATTAAATATAATGGGTTGGATCCAGTACACTTTTTCATTCAGTCTCACCCAATTCCCTTAGCTCCCCAGCACAGCTTTTTTGGGGATCCTTCCTTTCCTTTTCACCAGCAGAAAAGCTGGTTGGATCTAATCCATTATGATGATACTTCAGAGACATATGAGAGAGCATATCAACCACCCTCTCAACATGAAGCATCATAACCCAGCTATTGTTTCCCTGCCCATTGATATCCAGCACACTTTGATGCAAGACCTTGGGGATATTAGTTTTCTTCAACTATTTAACAAGTATCAGTGATGGGTAGTGACTTAATATCAATCCTTGGAAGATGGGAGATTCATCTCAAAATACATGCAACAAGAATGAATAGTAGTTTTATAGTAAAATGCTGTGCTTCAGCATACTCTGTATCTAGTTAAATTTTAAAAATTCTGTGTTGTTATGAATGGGCCATGCCTTTTATGCCCATTATCAGTGGATAAGATGTTTCACATATTTCTTACCTTGGGGTACCCGAACTGAAGCATCAGTAGAAATAACTGATGCTATCTTTTCTTCTGCTTTTGCTGTGTTCTTCCCAGTTGTACATTCTGGAACAACAGAAGAAAGCAGCATTAGAAACAAATATGCAGTAGCAAAAACATGCAGAAATATTAAATACATGCACATTAGACATGGATGTCACAAATCTGACAACTGTTAAACAGCATAAAGTTTGTGTCATCCAAAATATGCAGTATAGCATTGTTTTTCCTTTGCTATAGCAAATTATAATACCTTCTCAGTGTTATTACAAGAGTGGCTTATATGCATTATATCCACATTGAATATCCACATTGAAAGAAATGTGATCTAAATGATCAACCTGGGTATACACTAGGAAACTGTACAAACACTGTTATACATTGTTCCTTAGAAATTACTTATTGTTCTTTTTTTTTACACTAAGTGCCTCCCCCTCACCTACTTTTCATATTACCTTCAATGAGTGCTGCTATTTGTTGACTTTTCTGAGAAGGAAGTTCTCTCACAATTTCCAAAGCTGTCAGACTTCTGTTATCCTTTATATTCACATCAATGCCTTAGATAAACACAGAACAGGTCAGAGATATATTTTTATATAAATTTGGCTGTACACTCTATCATACAGAAACCATAACAATGGCCAGGTGACCAAAAACATAAAGGGACATGCCTGCATGTACACCCAGGAAGAAGTATGGTGAGCACCCAATGTTTATGATCTTTAGAACATTTGGAGATTGGGATCCTTCTCTTCCACTGCATGGGAATTTTCTTCTACCTTCCATGGTTTGGTTAAACTATAGTTCATATCACTGCAGGTGTAACACTAAAGAATGGCTACGGCTAACCTCAAAACTGTGATTTCACATAATTTGCAGACAATGGTAATCCTAGTTAGCTTTAACTATAATTAAGCACCCATGCAAACATGGTTAAAGCAACTATGGGAGTGGATATTCAAGAACCACACAAGGATAGAGCTCCAAAACGTGACTAGGAGACTGGGAACATCATGAATGGATCAGAATGGGAAAGTGGCGTTCTGAGGTTAAATTGTTCATCTTTAAGATGGCACAGGGCTTAGTCTTTGTTGCTTTTGCTATACCATTTTAACCCCACCAAATCTCTGAAATAAATAAGCGGGTCATCATGTCCTATCACAGGATCTTTCAGTATGCTTACTTATTTTACCTACATGCAATGTTTGGACAAGGGTACTGAGAGGTACTGGCAGCCATCCACCAATTAATCAGTCCTTTCTCCAGACCTTTTTTGGAAGCACAACAAGATTTCTCAATTACTACATTTTTAACATTATTGTATTTTTATACTGAAACCACATGAAGCTTTGGAATGGAGAAGAAACAGAAACAAAAGATACAGTAACTAGATGGTTATGGAAATGACCTTATCCTACAGTAACTCCCAGTTACTCAGTGTTTATCTGGCCCATTCTGAAGAACTATGTTTAGGAAGCTGGAAAATTGCACAAAAATGCTAATTTGCTACCATCAAGATTGTAAAATTAACACACTTTACTAGAGATATCCTCACCTGCAGCTAGCAGTATCTGTACCACATCTGTTTTGCCAAACAAAGCAGCTTCGTGCAAAGCACTACCTTTTTCTGTCTGTAAATGAAATAGCACATGGCCAAGTTGAAAATATGATCAGAGAGCACTGAAAGCAATGCTTGCACATGCAATTAACATCAATTGACAAGCAGAAGACACATGCTGTAGTTAATCCACAACTGTAAAAATAATAATCCTTAAGGTCCTTTACCAGGAATGAAATGCTAATGTTCTGAGGCAGCTTCTTTAAACTAAGGAGCAATCACTCTGAATCACACCAAGCAGAAAATATCTCTAACCTGACTCAGGAACCTTGAATCTCCCTCTGACAAAGGACAAGAAGAACTTGCCTGTTTTAGCAGAAAGGGCTGGAAAAGTTTAGCTGAAAATAGAATGGTCTGTATGTATTTACTACAGGGACATGATTGTTTGAGAGGTCACATAAAACTGCTAGTCTATTAAACATTCAGATTTATGAGAAAATTGTGGTCATTGTGAAATCAGAAATAAAATAAAAGTGAAAGTGTTTCTCATGTGAATTATTGTTGCAATCTAGGTATTAATTATAACTGTATGACAGGACAGGCAGACAAATGTTCAATATATATTTAGAGTATTTACATCCTAATCTTCTGCCCATATTCAATAATACAAATGCTGAAATGCACCACTCACAATATAGCTAAACCAGATTTATATATGATCAACTCTGTAAGAATATAAAATGTACATGTTCAAATATAATGGTTTTAACACATAGATATTACAAGACTCTATTAAGTTTTGCTATACAGTTTAAAGAAAGAGAATTATGATTCTAAAAAAATGACAGTACCCCTTACAAAAGCCACTATAAGCCCTGTAATGTAAGCTGACAATCCATAGAATGGTCTGGGGGCACAGACACTGCTATCCTTGAGAGAGTCTCAAAGAAAAATTCTGATTAAGTTTCAATCTCCTCTGGCTTTTCTCCAAAGAGAGTTAAGGCCAATATCCAACATATTTCTTCAACAATAAAGTCATAAGGAAACAAGATACCTGGTAATTGCTATCCATGCCAGCATCCAGAAGAACACGTACAACAGCTTTATGGCCATTCCTAGCTGCCAGATGTAAGGGGGTGTGTTTCTTAGTATTGCAACTTAGAAGATTGGGATGAGCATTAAGCAACATCTTCACAACCTCCAATCTCCCATAGAGTGCAGCCAAATCAAGAGGTGTCTCGAACTTGTTATTGCGCATGGTAGGGTCAGTCAACTCCTCCAGGAGAACCTTCACCACCTCTGTATGACCATACTGAGCTGCACAATGCAGAGCCGTCTCATTGTCATTATTCTGAGATTATACAAGTAAAAAAACATTAAGATTTTGATAAAGAGGCTGTATTGTTCTCACTTACAGAGCTCAGCGATAACAGCAACCCAAAATACAGTTGATTTCACAGCTCGATCAAACTCTTTACTACTGTTTATACTCTGCCACTCATTACAACAGTAAAAGAAAGCACAGTTAGTGTTTAAATCTTGGTATCTTAATCCAATAAAGATACTGATATCCGTCAAGGTACAAATAAAATTGGGCAGACAAGTAACTGTGTATTTCACTTTGATTGCAATTCTAATACTTGCTCAGTTCTGATGCGATTTGTTTGCCAATCATAAACTCAGCTAGCATCAATGTGTACTGGGTAAGTGCTTCACTAGAATTATTCCAATTTAAGCTGTGCACTCATCCAAGGACTGTCCTAAGCAATATTGCAATGGCTATTGGTTTTCTTGCTATATTATCCCGCCCTCCCGCCAAAGCGGCTCAGCAATATTGCAATGGCTGTTGGTTTTCTTGCTATATTTTTTTGTCAGAAAACAAACTTCTTTCAAATAGTCACCTCCCATGACAAACTGCTTTTAAAAAGAGAAGTGAAAAAAGAAGCCCCTGAGTTAAAGGCTATGCAGTTTTTCAGATCCTGGCTAGTACTTACACATCCTACTGAAAGACAGTACTGATTTCTTTTAACACATGAACTCTGGCTCGCATGCACTAGAAAATCTCCACTGATGGAATGGATTTTAGTCAACCATGTGCAGCTTTCTCCCTCCTACTGCAGCCCAACCCTGTCTCCCAATGTTGCTCCTGGGGTGCGGTGGACATTCCAAGAACAACATGAAGGGGGAATTGCTATCTGCTAAAATCCTCTACTGATCCTACACTTGTAAAGTATCAGCTTTTGCAAGCAAGAGCCTACTTCCATCAAATATGCTCCAATTTGGCAGATGCACTACAAATATTACTACTCTGAAGATGGTTGTTCATATTTAAAAGAAGCTGGTGTTTTGTGTTGAAACAGCTACAACACAGGGCATCCTACGTGGTTTAATCCTCTGAGACAAGCTTTGCTCTAACCATAACTCATGCCTGCAGACACATTAAATGCTTGAGAAAAGTGGGTGACATAGAAATTTATATGGGAATTTAAATTAACATGGAGGAAACCAAGAGGAAAGCAGTGGGAACAGTAACATGCAAGCACAAACAACATTTGGAAAAATGGGGAAACACTACTATTTAAGGATGAATTACAAATCAACCATCCAAGCCAAACAGCTGCTGGGAAAAACAGATTTACAGCAAAGGTGAATGTAGGTGAACTAGATGAGGTAATGCAACATTAAGAACATGCACTGAAAATGCAATGAATGGAGGAACACCTAAATCAGTATCTATAAATAACATGTAGCATTTATGTGCAAGATCCCAACGAACCCATGTGTCATTTGACAGGTTACATAGGCCTCACATTTACCACAAAAGTCAACAACATCACGGGGGGGGGGGGACACACACACAATTGGGCTGGTTCTATCAAACAATTATCCTTCACAATTTCCAGTATTAGCATGGATGACTAAAGTCCCTCCCTCCCATCTCTACTTGCTTGACATTTAAATGGTTGGGGTGAATAAGACAGACTGTAATATTTAGGCTGTTAAATAGCTTGTGATGAATTATTTGCCTGATTACATTCGCATGTTATTCGCATGTTACGACAAATTCAAAATTGGGGAAAGGAGGTAACTTACATTGTGACAGAAGTTTCTATTAGATTTGGAGCCTGTCTTTTTTCAGTCCTGTACAGATTCTAGATCTTTAAGGTACTTATCTCTCCCTTATTATAATTGAATAGCAACGTTCTATATTGCAACATTCTAAATTTGGCCCCTTGCCATCTATATTTTATTTTTTATTTTTGAACATACTAATCAATATGGACACAAAACCAACACAGGAGCTTAAGCTTGCAGCCCCTCTAATTAAAGATTGGCTTCACAAATCAGTTAAAGCTGTACTTCATGATCACAAATTAAATCTTATTACCCAAATATTTCATAAACACATTTTTTCATATTATCAGTTTTGCCTGAAAGCCCAAGATAAGAGATTACTATAGCCCATAGGACACTGAAGAAAGACAAACAAAAGGCTGTTATGGAATGCCTCTCAGTGGTTTGACAAGCTAAAAAGCTGTTCTGTTCATCTTCTTCCTAAAAGACTGAGAAATGCTTTTCATTTGAGTGCATTTAACTAACATGCATATACAAAAACGGAATAAAATAATCCACAGTGCATTAACATGAACATCCATTGTATGGGGCATATTTGCAATTATGTGTGTTGCACCACTGTGGTATGTAGATACATTTATAATGTGATACATTTGTGATATCAATTTGATTTTCAGATAACAGAAACAGGGTTTTATTTTTAATAATAATCCTAGACTCAGTCTACAGTCCAAAAGCTTAGGGCAAGAAGAGTTTCTCAGAAATAGACTGAATAAATCAACTCCACCTGGAAGCTATGACAGCTATGCCCTTTGTGAACAACAGGGACTCAATGTCTTGAAAGACTTCATTCAGTAGCACATGATCTCTCCTCCAATGTAGGCAGAGATGTAAAGTATCTTTTGAGGACTCCAACCTACAACACTGTTGGCAAACAATTTTTTTCTTGACAACCAAGAACTAGGTTCTGCAGGAAAAGTGGCATAAAATTCCCTGAATGAATGAATAAGTGGGAATTTATGCCATGAGTAGAATTCAGTCTTCTGTCAATGGATATGTCTGGCTGCCCTAACCATAAACAGACAGGATTCTGGCTACTGCAGATCCATGGTTGACAGAAACCTAATATTTCATTTCATTTCTTGCACAAGCTCAGCTTCATCAATATCTTCACCTTTCAAGCAGAAAATATCTGGAAACAATGGAGCTATGAGGGGCACCTCTGTATTTCCAATTTCAATGAACAATCACACTCAAAGCATGTTTCAAAGATTACTAGGACTAACAAGGTTAGAAGGAGAAATTTGTCACACACACGCACACACCCCGCGTTGTGCAATACGTTGGGATTTATAAAGAGCCCCTCCTCATGATTTGGCCCAGATTCTAACTTTTGCAAGATTCCCTCCAAGGTTTACCTCAAGAACATAAGAAGAGCCCCACTGAATCCACGTAGTACAGCATCCTGTTTCACACTGTGGCCAACCAGTTCCTCTGGATGGCCAACAACAAGGCATAGAGGCTGAGGCCTTCCTCTGATGTTGCCTCCTGGCTCTGGGATTCAGATGACTGGTGCCTCTAAATGTGAAGGTTCCCCTCAGTCACCATGGCTAGTAGCCATTGAAAGATTCATGGAGATCAAGTCTACCTAATCCCCTTTTAAAGCTGTTTATTCCTGTGCCCATCAGTGACGGACTCCAAAGGAAAGCAGGCTTTTCAAAATGCTGCTTAGTACAGAGAGTCAGGGAGGTTAGTAGTTAATCTTCCCTGGAGAGAAGAGCTTAGGTGATTGGCTACTCTGCTCACTCTCTGATTGGCCAACATCAGCTGAAAGAGAAAATAAAACAGCTGATCTGGAGGAAAAGGGGTGTTTAACCTTTGGTCTCTTGCTGTTTGGTCTTCCTAAAGTCTGGATCAGTAGCCACAGGATTGCTTCTGAGGGAAGAGAAATTTGGAAGTCAGTATTTTCTGACAGGCAATAGTCAGAAAAGTACATCTACAAATAGAAGAGAAACCCCAATGTCTTAGAGAGATTAAAATCGCTCTGAGGGCGAACTTAGATTCTCAGTCAGACAAGTTACAAAACAACCTTATACAGACAAAGGATACTGGAGAAGGATTTGGCAGAAGGTCTGGGTAGTTATAGAGAACTCCCATACAAACCAAATAGTAAAAGGAATTATTGGTTCTTAGGGAGGAGAATTTCTTGCCAGTGAAAGCAGCTGGGAAGAGAACCCTGGTCTGTGAAGTCTTCCTCGTGCTCCATTAAGTCATGGAGGCATCCTCCCCATGGGAACCGTTTTTGTGCAGCTTTCGTGGGCCAGTCATGTTTTTCTTTGGCCCTCCCAGGAGAGGGGGGAGGGGAAGAGCCAGGGGATCCAAGACATGAGGCCCTACCCCCCGCACCATGAGACAGCGCGATTTCCTTCCTCTCTTATAGCCCATCTGAGGTAGGCATCGCTGGTGTTACCTGTCTGGGATCCCGCGTTGTCTCCGCCCTCCATCGCCCCATAGGACCGATTCTGTCCTGCGTGGGGGTTCTCACTATGCCCATGTTTTTCAGAGCGTTGTTGGTGCGGGCATAGGCACTGCTTGCCGGTCCTGTCTTTTTGGGTATGTCGGCCAGAGGCTTTTAAAATGGCCGCCGGAGCCGGCGCGGGCTCCTTCGCGCGCTTTTTTGTGTGCTTTGCATTGCTCCCCGCTCGATCTTCCGACGTCACCGTGGCTCACTTTTTTGCCATGTGGTCTTTTTCTCCTCTATATTCAACACTGGAGTCTCCCTCCAGAGTGGAGAGAAACCTGTCGCCTTTCTCGTTTGCCGCCATAAGGGGCAGAGTATGTGCCGCATTTGAAGGGAGAGGGCACACTGAGAAGAAAAACCCCCAAGCCCTCTATTGAGGGGGGGGGAAGCAGAGAGCAAGGAGTGAGAAAGCTTCCCCCCCCCCAAATAGAGTTAAAGAAAGTAGAAACAGAATCAGGGAGAGAAAAAAAGATATATATATGTCAAGCAGTAGGAAAGATTAGGCAAAGCCTAGACCTAGCTGCTCTCCCTACTGAGGCAGGAAAAGAATTGAGCCAAGGGTGACTCCCACCACAAGAAACAGGAAGTTTTTGAGTTAGTCCTGCCTCCCTAAGCAACAGATGGGAATCACCCACAAGATGGCCTCAGAGGGAGAAGGGGTCTCTTCTAAGGGATCACATCCTTCCTCCTCAGACTGACACCTTCTGACCTCAAGACTCCCATCCTCCACAACACCAGAAGAGCTGCCACCACAA